TTCCTGCTCCTAGAGTTTGGGAGAAGGTCCATCTGTCCTCAGGTCTCCGTGTATTTCCCCTCAAGGCAGCTGCAGGGGGACAGAACCCCACAAACTCTGAGATCCATCCTGTGACCCGAAGGTTACCAAGGACGTTTTAGACCTTGTGTTCTGCTCCAAAACCTGGACATTACTGGGCCCGATGGACTTGTGCACCCTACTGACATGAGAAGGGACCTCTCCATTTTTTCTAGCCAACCACATATCTCAAGTACTTCCCATTTCACCCATGAAAAATGATTCTGGAACTCCATGTGCTGTCCAACAAAGCCTATGGGGTGGTTTTCTAAAACATCCAGAGTACTTAGGTAGTCAAGTTTGGAGCTTGGTTTCCTGTTTAGGATAAATCAACACTAACTGTTCTGGGATGGACATTAATTCACACACCTCTGTATCTAAACGATCACACACATAACCAGAAGAAATTTATTACACACAACCCAGAAGCTAAATTTATTAAGCGTTTACATTACACCATGATAGACACCGAAAAGGAAATTACCTTCAAGGTTCCCAGTAAGGTGGGTCCCACCAGTGGCACTATTCTACACAGAAGGGAACTGTAGGAAGGGATATTAACTAGGGTCCTCATGTTCAAAGCAGGGGTTTGGACTCAGGCAGTCTGATCTCAGAGCCCAGGCCCTTCTTGATATACCGCACAGACTTGGATGTGGCCAGTGTCAGAGTCAGTTCAGAGAAACAAAAAAATAAGACATCCCAGGGCCAGGGATTTAGCTCAGTGGTGCTGCCGCCTGCCTGCCTTGTAAGTGCAAGGTCCTGATTTCAATCCCCAGTACCAAAAAAAAAAAAAAGACATCCATGCCATTGTAAAAGTTGAGAATCCGCTGGGGATGTAATTCAGCAGTGAGGCACCTTTCTGGCAAGCACGAGGTCCTGAGTTCAAGCCTTAGTACCAAAACAACAACAAGAAGTTGAGAATTGGGCTGGGGATTTAGCTCAGTGGTTCTGGCGCCTGCCTCGCAAGAGCAAGAACCTGAGTTCGATCCCCGGTACCAAAAAAAAAAAAAAAGAAGTTAAGAATCTGGATAATGAAGATGACTGAGAGTGAAAAGTTAGCAGCTTTCCAAGTCTGTCCTTGAAACCAAGATATACACATACCAGCAGTGGGAACAGCCTTAGTCCTGCATTCTAGCCCTGCCCCAAAAGACAGCTTGGCCAGGCTCTCCTCCCCGAATCCGAATAAGGACCAAGCTTCCAGCTTCTATCTGACTGCTGCCTGGAAAGGAGAGTTGCTGCAGGGTTTTCATTCCAACTCATGGGCTAGAGATGGGCAAGCTGGTCTGCAGAGCAAGAGACTGAGCAGGCTTGGGGAAAAGACTTCACAGCCGTTGAGCACAGATATTCTGAGTTAATGATCTACCTGTTTAATGACTGTTCAGATTTATGACTGAGGTGTGCTGTTAGGACTTACAACCCATCCTTTTCTTTTTTCAGTTTTGGTTCTGTAGCCTCAATGTCTTTTTTTGTACAGTGCCCCTTGTTTATACAGTACAGTAACTTCTGCTGATTGTACTACGCAGTACTGTAGTTTCATATTGCTATACAGTACAGTACTGCATGTAATAGTTATGCAAATAAAAACAAAGGCATCAAGTTGGAGTTTCCTGTTCTGATATTGTAATGTACACTCTATATACAATTCCTCACTTAGCAACAAATTCACTTAACAACCTCGTCTCAGGATTGTAACTCAGTTTTGGTTTATTTTTTGGTACCGGGGGTTGAACTCAGGAACTTGCAAGGCAGGCTACTGAGCTAAATCACTGGCCCGTATTGCAGTTATTAAACGAGGAAGGTCTATACCAAGTGAGACCCAGCAGCACTTCCTGATCTTGACTTTCACACCACATGAAATTCTTTGTGGGTTTTCACGACTCAAAGAGTTTTAATGGATACCTCCGTGGCATTGTTTTCAAGCCAATAATAGTAAGCCTCACTGGCAATTTATAAGCTACATAGCGAGAAAGAACCAGTAGCAGAAAGTTGAGAATAGCAATCCAACAACAGAATATGATAATGCAGCCAGGCATGGCGCACACCTGTAATCCTAGCACTCCACTCAGGAGGCTGAGGCAAGAGGACTGCAGCAAGTTTGAGGCCTGCCTATACCACACAGGGAAACCCTGTCTCAAAAAAAAAAAGATAATGCAGAGACCAGGGCAATGGGGAGAAAGGACCTGGGGTGGAGGGGAATCACGAACATTTTAGTTCTTTCTTCTAGTGCCAAAACCAGCCACTTGAACAGATTACTTTTCCCCCCAAGTTCTATTATGTCCTTCTAGTAATCAGCTACCTTAGTATGGAGAGGGTTTCTCCTCTCCCTGAAAAGACCAATGACATATTTTCATATACTGATACCCGCCCTTCCAGCTTACAATTAATTCTTTAAAAATCTAAAATTGGCCAGGCGTGGTGGTGCACTCCTGTAATCCCAGCATTGGGGAGGCTGAAGCAGGAGGATCACTGTGAGTTTGAGACCAGCCTGGGCTACATAGTGAGTTCCAGGTCAGTCTCACTACATAATGAGACCCTGTCTCAAAAAAAAAAAAAAAATCTAAACTTTTAAACAGAAAAATTTGAAGAACTCTATGTGAACAGCTGTACAGCCTTATTTCTGCCCTTCAATATCCCTGACATTTTACTATATTTTCTTTATTGAATATTCAGCCATGTCTACCCCTTTGTCCACCCATTAATCCAGCTGACTTGTATACCATTCAAAGTAAACTCAGGCAACACAACAGTCCATACTATTATTATTGGTAGTAGGGAGGGAACCAGGGCCTTTGCACTGAGCTACATTCCCAGTCCTTTCAGTTTTACTTTGTGAGACAGGGACTCTCTAAGCCACTAAGATGCCCTGGCTGGGCTTCAATATGTGATCCCCCAGCCTCAGCCTTCCCCAGGTGCTGAGATTACAGTGTGCTCCCACACCCAGGTATACTCAGTACTGTTAAATACCGGTAGTTTGATATTTGCTCAGCTTTTTTTTTTCTTTTGTGATGTTAGGAAATCAAACCAAGGACTGTGCACACTAGGCGAGCACTCTGCCACCGAGCCATGTTCCCAGACCTCTTTTGGTTTTTCCTTTTAATGTAAAACTTAAATACCATGGAACACAAATCCTGAAATGTAGTCTGCTGGACTTTGACACTCAGCCACATCGCCCAAACCCTTCATAAGGAGGCAGAATGCAACTACCCTTCCGGAACACTGTGTTGGCCCCTTCTTGTTCATCCCTCTCCTCACCTTCACTCCAGGAAATCTCTGAATTACCTTCTACTTGGATCAGTCTGGGGCAGGCTCTCTTCCATCCTCTGAGGTGCCTGAGTAAATCCCAGGCAGGGTTGTCAGCGTCAGTCCAGCCACGAGATGTGTCCCTTTGCCTTCTCTCCTGCCCGAGAAGAGGCCTGTCTGTTCCTGTTGGCTCCCGGGATGAGAAGCTGCTGAAACTCAGTCAGGGCAAATTCAGCCTTTGATAAAACTCCGTAGCAAACCTGTATAGTTTTTAAAAGGGTGGCCAGAAAGCATACTGTGTATATTCCCACATGATTATACTTTCTAGTCTTCAATTGCTAAAGGTAGTGTTACTAGGATTTGAAAAGGTACCTGGACCTGAACCACAATCTAGGCCAAGGAGTCTGTATTTAAAAACATGAAACCACCATTTGAACAAATTACTTCCCTCTCCAATATATAAATGACACACAAAATATAAATTTTTTTGTTGTTTTTGAGACAAGGTCTTGGTAGGTAGCCCAGGATGGCCTCAAACTCATGGTGCTCCTCCTGCCTCAGCCTCCTGAGTGCTGGGACTACAAGTGTGCGCCACCACACCCAGAGAGCATGTATTTGGGATCACATACGCCAGCCCACTTGTCAGCCTGCTTACATGTGAGCACGTGGAACCCACAGCATAGAAGAGCTACCTCTCCCACTCTTCTGACACTTTTCAGAGGGGACAGGGTGTGTGTGGGCCGCGAGGCTCACACAAGGATGTGGGTCAGCACACGACAGCCATATGTCCCTATGATCCGTCCTCACAGCAGGGTGGGGGGATCCTGGGTCCTACCCCAGGGATGGCTTTATAAATATCCCAGTCACAGCAGAGCAGAAGCACAGCCCTGAAGAGGCTGTGATCACAGCCACAGGAGGGGCTTTAGTCAGCTCTCCCTCAAGGACAGGGGGGGATGTGAAGGCCCAGGGCCAATTCTCTACAGGAACCAGCCCCTGCTCCACTCTCTACTCCATGAACCAAGGAACAAGCCCAATTAAGAGGGACACAGCACAGATCCCCAAAGCCCATGAACTAACCCAGCATGGAAGACAAGACAAAAAGCCCTCAACTCTAGGGTGGGATTTGCGAATACAGATGTCAAAGAACTAACAGATATGACAGGAATGGGGTAGCAACAAGACCCTCAAGGCTGGTTCTGGACACAGGACAGTGGTCTGCCAGACAGGAAAGGTCAAGACATGTACGAAAGTGACATTGTCAATCTAGTATTGAACAGAATTAGTTAGTTAAACCCTACTCTCATAGTCTTATGCCTTGTCTTCTAGCTCTAAAGGAACTCAGACCCCTCCCAACAATTTAAAAGAACCCAGGATTCCAATGTTATACATCCTCATAAGAAGCAAAGAAACAGTGATAATTTCAGGGGTTTAAAAAACCCTTTCCTTTTAGTTGCCTGATAGGGCTTCCTAACCCTGTTTTATTTTTCTTCACAGCATTTCATCACTGCCTATTGGGTCTCCCTACCCACCTACCATGCATGCGTGTGACCTCGGCGTGAATGGAAACCCAAGGGACAGAGCCTTGCTCTCTCACGGCTGTTTTTAGGCCTGCCAGGACCTTGGTTGGGCTTCTCATTTCCTGAATGAATGAAAAGGATTACTCCATGTGTTACACCAATCACACCAAACACAGTACTGCTTGTAAACTGTGCTTTAATTTCTGCAATCAGATCTGATGCTGTGAGAATACAAGTATAAACCTTTTTGTGCATCCAGAAAATAAAAAGCATATTTATAGATATAGCCCCACAGCTTATTCCTTAAAAAAAAAAAAAAAAGAAAAATTTGAATTTAATTAAAGCTAGTTTCTCTTCAGTGTAAAAACTTGGAGGTATAAACAAACTCAAGATATTATATACAGTAAATTACTAATGTACATTTCCAATCTTGCACAGTGCAGCACTTTAAAACAAATGGTCTCATTTCAGCTTTTACTGTTAAACTTAACCTACATCTGAATCTTGAATAAAATTTTCACTATATAAACCCACAGAGAAGTCTGTACACAAATACAAGTTATAGAAATCTGATTTCAAATATAAATACATAAATCGTCATGACCTTACATGGTACAACAGCTTGCTTACTTATTTTGCTATAGTAATTTTTAAAAATCATAGAAAAATATTTCAATGCACATTCAACTGCTATGATGAGGGCCATGACCTTGTGCCTTTAAACCATATTTTATAGAGTGTAAAGCATCACACCGGGCATTTCTGGAATGAAAATTGCTAAGATTGAAGAGGCTACCATATAAACATTCATATTGTAATAAGGTAACAAAATAGCTCCATAGTGTGTTTGGGAGGAAACACAGAGCACAGAAATAAGTGGAGATTAGTGCTAGTTTAAGAAGGCCCACAGACATACGTGAAGGGAGCCAGGAACTAGTGTATTTTTAAAAATCCCTACTGTAAGCCTAATGCTGACCTCGCTCCCAAGACTCTTAAGGCAACAAAGACTGAGGTGTGTCTGGCCCCCAGATGCACAAATCCTGCTCTCCCCTCAACCTGTTATCCTAGCTGACCGACCTGGCTCGTGCATTCATGTGGAACGGAGAAGAGCAAAATGATTTTGTACAAAGGTGAGTCAGTGCAAACTGGAAATTCCTTTTTCAATAGCTTCAAATTCTCCTACTGCCCTCCAGTAGGTATTTCTAAACACCTTACATTCAAATTGGAATCTATTCTGAAGAGCAAATGTATATAAAAGGCAAACATTCAATCTGAAAGGTTCTAATGTAACTGTTTTTTTTTCCCCTTTCTTTTGTGGGATTTGATAAGAGTTCCACTGAGAATAAAAAAACTGGTCCTTACAAAGTATATTTTTCTACATTAAAAAAAATATATATGTATCATTTTAGACAGCAGATCCAAGGAGAAGACCAGGCATAGTTGAGCTTTTTTTATGGCTTCTTAATAACTGAGGTATCCTGTAAGGATCAACACTTCCGGCACTGACATTCAGCTGCTTGCCCATGAAAGCCACCTTCACAAGTGGCCAACCCCAGCAGTCTGTGAAGGACCAGAGCAGGCAAGGGAGGCAGGTGCCTGGGAAGCAGCTTAGGAGCCACAGTGGACAAGCACGCTCTCGGGTTCTCCAAAGCCTTGGGGCAAGAAGGTGGCAACACAAGGTGTTCACACACTGGGAAACTCCAGAGGCAAGGAAGCTCCTCTGGGCAAACCAAGAGGTTCCTCCAGTTTCACCAGCAGGTTCAGCAGTGAGACACTGGGACTGTGTGCTCCAAGGCAGACAGTGCAGAGGTACAGTGCGGAGGAAAGACCTGAGCTGTCAGCACAACACAGGGAGGAGCGGGTGGCACTGGCCTACACTACCACGACACAGTCCAGGAAGGAGGGAGGAGGGCTGAGGGTTAGGCTGTGTGGCAACAGCGGAACTTTCCAGCTTTTCTATAGAAACAAAAATGCTATGGTTTAAGTAAATGCCACCCCTCTTAATACCTCTGTCTTAGTCTTTCAACTCACATAAACACCACACAAAGTCGCCCTTGCTCCTAACTGAGATGGGACATTAACACCATTCCCAATGGTGAGATGAGCGATCTTGGCACAGAAAGGATCAGAAGAAAGCAGTAAGCCCAAGAGTATCAAACTGAAGCTCTTTCTAGTAGTAAACTGGCCACTGCAGGTTCTCTACATTACTTAGGCATTGGAAAGCAGCCACACTCCTATGATGGGGTCATGCAGGAATTCCTTCCAATTAATAATACTAATTTTAATTGCATAGTCTTTTAGAACCATGAAAAAATTGAGAACCAGCTCTTTTCTTCAAGGCCTGGGTTTTCTCCAACAGAGCGCTGGGCCACGACCCTCCCAGCATTAGCAAGTCACTCATCCAGGGACAGCTGTCCCAACCTCCCATACGCCTCTTCACAGTCACTGACACACAGTCACAGGTCCCCCAGATCCACAAACTCATCTTCTCGTCTGGCCAGATCTTCCTCATCTCCCAAAGCTTTCCAGCCACTGGTGGGCAAGACAGGCTTGGATGAGTGTCGCTGGAGCAAAGCAAAGGGAAACAAAGAGGACAGGCGGGCAGAGTTCCTCAGCAGGCAGGGCGCCTCTGCCTGGAGCGGCGCTTGGCTGAGGTGTCGCTCGTCGATTTTCTCTTGTAAGCTCTGGACTTCCTCCATCATTTCAAGGAGTTTGCCCATAGTGGCCACCCTGCCACCACCTACGATTTGGGCTTCTGGAATCCAGCGCAAGTAGCGCTGTGCCCAAACTTTGATTTCTGGCCCCTCTATATGAGGCAACAACAAACCATGGTAGTCAGTAGGTTTGCTGTGCCAGCTGTCATAGAACTCCCGAAAGTTGTCCTGCAGCTCATCTGAAGAGTTAATAAGTTTGCTAATTCTCTTGCCCAGAAGGTTTTTAATCAAATGATCTGTTTCTTCCCTGAAAAATCCTCTTTTGGGAGATGACTTTGACTGGGTGAGTGGCAAAGAAAGTTGTCGTTGATGCTTTGAGAAAAAACACAAATAAAAATCTCTGGTTAACATAGAGGCATTCTTAAAGTTGTTACCATAGAAGAGGGGAATAATCCTACTACCTTAAGTATCAAGAGACAACAGAATTGCCAAGTGAAGCCTAAGCATTAAAATGCTATCACACGCAGAGGAAGGTGGGTTACTTATTCTCCTGATGCAAATGTTCAAGGCACACTGTATTATCAACAAATGGGAGAGGCCAGCGCCATGTGGCACTGTGCAGAAAGGCATCCCGGGACATCAAGAGTGGAGCCTTTGGGCCAGGGATTTGGCTCAGTGGTTCGGCTGTCTGCCTTGCAAGTGAAAGAACCTGAGTTTGGTCTCCCCGGTACCAAAAGGAAAAAAAAAAAACTTTTGCTCTCCTCTTCCCCTGGACTGGAGCTATCAAAGGACACAAAGTAGTTTTAAGGAACTGGGTTAAGATAGCTTAATGATTTAGGAGATTTGGTGGGTGTCCATTTATTTTTCTTCTATGTTTGATTGATTGATTGATAAGGGTCTCACTATGTGGCCCAGTCTGGTCTCAAACTTGCAGTGATCTTCCTGTCTCAGCCTCTTGAGTGCTGGGATTGTAGGTGTGCACTGCCATTATTCATTTCTTAAAGGGAACAAAATGTTTCTTCTTTGAGAACTTTAGGGCTGCTTAATTGCTACAATATTCTGAACATATGCAAGGAAGCAGGCTGACTACCTGAAAATCCTATGTGTGGACAAAATAAGCTACAGTGGGCTGGGGATTTAGTTCAGTGGAACTGCACCTGCCTTATAAGCTCAAGGTCCTAAATTCAATCCCCGGTACAAAACGACAACGGG